GGATGTCCCCTCATAGGTCCTCAGAAACATCCCCCCGTGCACAACCAAGGCACAGTGGCCCAGGATGTCCCTCAGCCTCAGTCTGGTCCCCAAGATGTCCATGGCACAGTTCCAGGTGCCCTGGCTCTGTCTCCCAACCTTCTGGACCACTTCCCCAGGGATGCAATGACCAACCAGCACATCCCCCCATGGAAATCCCAGCAAGGCCTGGCGTGAGCACAAACCAGAGGCACCAGAGCGTGGCTCCAGCCTGCTGCTCTCCCCTGCCACCAGTCCCTCCCAGGATCCTGCCAGGGGGATTTGTGTCCAGCAGACCACAACCAGCTCAGGTGTTCCATTTATCTCCCCCTTGCAGAGAGCTCTGCATGTCCCAGCTCATCCCAGGGAAACGCTGGGGCTGGGAATGGTGAGTCTGGGGGAAATATTTAATCCCCAGCAAACCCTTTGCAGTGAAAAACCACTTTTTCTCCTCCAAGAGCCCAGCTGATCCCAACCCCACCGGCCTCAGGTATCTCTCCCCCACCTGCACCAGCTGCATTTCCGTGGCTGCCCCTCTGGGGGATTATTTCCATGGATATTGCATCCAAAATCTGCCCTGCACCAGTAGCACAGATCTGGGAACTTTTCCCAGGAACTCAGCCTGCAGCCAGCCCTGCTCAGCAAGCAGGGACAGATCTCTCCAAAAACTCTTGTTCTGCCCCAGAATGGCACCGAGACCCCCCAAGTGCCAGGGGAGGAGCTCTCCAAGGGCCTCAGCCCCCAACCATTGGCTCCAGTTGGGCGATTTTCTGCTTGATTAGATTTTTCTCTGTGTTCTTAATTTTTCCAAACCCCTCTGGATTGTTTTTCTGCCTTTTGTTCTAACTCCCAAATTCCAATTATTTGCACATTTAATTACTGTGCTGATTCCTCCTCGTTTCTGGCAGAGCCTGACGAGCAGAGCCCGGCTGTCAGTCCTGCTCTTATCTGGGGGAGGGATTCAAGCACCAGGATGAGGGGAGAGGGTCTAAGGAAACCTTGTGCCAGAGGGGGACGTGAGGGGTGGCAGGAGACCTGCTTGGAATGTCCTCAGCCCTCCCATGGCAGTCTGAGCCCCTCTGGAAGTGTTATGGTCTGGCCTCCTGCATGGGAGAGGAGAAGGAGAAGGAGAAGGAGAAGGAGAAGGAGAAGGAGAAGGAGAAGGAGAAGGAGAAGGAGAAGGAGAAGGAGAAGGAAGAGAGGGAAAGAGAGAAAGAAAGAAAGAGAGGGAGGAAGGAAGGAGAAAGAGAAAGAGAGAGAAAAAAGAGACAAAGAAAGAGAGAAAGAGAAAAAGAGAGAGAAAGAAAGAAAGAGAAAGAGAGAGAAAGAGAGGAAGAAATGAAGAAAAAGAGAAAGAAAGAGAGGAAGAAATGAAGAAAAAGAGAAAGACAGAGAGGAAGAAAGAAAGAGAAAAAGAGAAAGAAAGAGAGAAAGAGAAAAAGAGAAAGAAAGAAAGAAAGA